ATACTGAATGCTATAATGACAGTGGTTATTCCGAAGTCACCAGCGAGGCGGTGGTTTCCACTGATCCTGTCACTCCTAGTAGCGAGGCCATTACTAATCACCACGCCATTACTAATCCGATCACGGGATACTCCTCGAGATTTCTGCCCTGTTTCTATTACACGTCCGGAGGCTTTTCAGCATTTGGCAACTAAGGAAGGATTTTCTAGCTGAGTGTCTGACAAAAACTGGATTTTATAGCTGAGTGTCTGACAAAAACTGCAGATCCCATCGCGATATTATGCCCGCTTCAACAAGACGGATTGTGCGGTTGTAATTGTGAGTGACAGGCGGATCCTTTGATGCTTTTTTTATTGACATATTTGTTTTACACCCACTGCAATTTGACGCAATTGATATATTTAACCTCTACCTTCTCACAGATGATTGGTAGTGAGGACAAGGCGTTATTGATGATTTTTCCAGTCAGAGCTCTGTGCAGGTATTATTTCAGACCACAAAAGATCAGGGGGAAACATTATGTCCTATATGTAGTGGGAGACATCCCTTACGATCATTAGCACGTGGATGAAGCACACTATCTCTCAAAGATACAAGTTATGCCACGTTCATCAAGTCAGGGGATTGGCTAGACTGTTTCCAGAGAGACTTAATTTTGTTTTAGAATTTCTCAACTGAAAATCTTAGTTGCGTTAAGACCCAGCTAGCGGCATTAGTGTTGGACAACGCTGCTCACCGGAGTATTAAGTTAAGTGTTACAATACTGATTCTATATTTTAGTTAGCACACAATTTAATTTTGCCTCACTCGACCTCCAATCACTGGAACAAGAGGCGTCAAGACCATGTGTTGATCATGTAATGCATATTTATCTTTCACCACCTACTTTGATAATTTAGAACCGACACTTGAATTTCAGCAGGTCACCCACCTACTCAGTTTACTCTTGTACTATCAATTGGATAACTCAGTATGGGATGCATGTAAGGTAGGTATGGCTGAGCATTGTAAAATACACATAATTCTCCAAAATAATGTTGACATTTTAGTTCTGATCACTGGTACCCGTATACTGCTGGTTTTCCAGTACACTAACATGCCTGTTTTGTTAAACTAAAAGCTCTTGTATAGTAAAAGAAACTACTATGCACAATGTTCGTGCTTGTCGTGCATCAATAAAATACCGTAATAAGCAATCAAGGGCAGTTTTGGATACACGTAATCAAAGGAACTGAATTATGTAACAGCGATTTGTAAATATAACCCAACATGGTAAAGCAATGATGGTATATACACTAATGATTCGAATGAATTTCTCGACTTTGAAAAGACATAATTTGAGATTAAAATAATAACGTTTTTAAAACTTAACCTCTGTCTTATTAGTCATGTGTCCTACTCCTACTGGCTCCTATATCTTTTCCCATCTGTGTTTACAGCTAGTACTCTGGGCGCGAGAAACATGCATCACATTTGAAGATTCTCTGCTGCTCTTTTTTCTTGTTGCAACTACACATTTTGAGCATTGACCGTAAGAGGTGAGTCTTGGATGAAGAGTATACACACTGCAAAGAGCTTCAAACCTGTTTCTGTTTTAACTTCTTCTATATGAAAACAAAGCCTTTGAGTCAAAGCGTCTTTTTCAGTGTCTTTGGTAGTATAACTTTGCTCAACTTCTCCTTCATTTGCACCTGCATCGTCACCACAGTTGATACGATGGTTCCTGTGTCCGCCATTTTAGCTGTAAAATTTGATGTGACTACTGGTCCATGGTATTCAATACAACAATTGTTTATCATGCATTTAATGTAGCACACCTAACATCCCTGCTTTAAATAGCACGGTTAAGTCACAGTCAAAAGAATAAATGCAATATCTACACCCAAACCTATTGATAAAATAATGAGTGTTGATAATAACTGTAAGAAGGTTCTTCACGCCAGTGGTGAACTTTGTAGTTAACTACCGTGTGGTAACAATGCCTCGAAATTCTGGATGTAGTGGAATTGTATTCAGGGACGACCACCGATATAAAGAAGGTACACGTCCTTATGCACAGATAAGTGTATTTGAAGGTTGTGGTTCTATCAGAGTTTCATTTAATGCAGGGAATAACGATATTTCCTGAAAAGGCTACCCACTCATGGAAGATTAAATATTTGTACTCGCGCAAGGAATAACAACGATATTCCCACAAAGACAACACAATACAAGGAAGTTAATGTCTTTATTAATGTACGTATAATTATGGAGGTTCCACAATTAGATAGTGAATATACCACAAGGAATTCTAGATGTTTTAAAATGCGTTGACGAGAGCGTTTGTGTTCGGACAGGCAAAGGGTGATTGACATTTCCTTACTTCCTATACCTGAATATGCCCACAAGAGGATCCACTCAATAGGACAGGTGGTAGGTAAATTTTGAAATGATTTGGTCATATCGGGTTGTGGAAGTTAGCCTCTGGTAGGGAAACAGTGTAGTTATAGGGTGTGGAACACAGGTCAAAGCCCGACATTCACCTGTAACACGGATAGTACTCCAAATACAACTAAAAGTCTCATAGCGGCCCAACAAAAGGATTATGGATTGAAAAAATCGCTCACTGGTGAGCATAGTAAAAAAAAGAACGCAGTTGGAAATCCCTGACTCAGAGGTTAAATGTATCTATGACAATGTGAAAGATTTGATACATCGTTAAGAGAATACATGAGATATGGCACAGAAAATACTGGCCAAACATAAAGACATATACAATAAGCATTTTGATAAGAAGGCTAGACCCAAAACACTAAAATCGGGTGACCAGTTACTAATATTACTCGCCACTGCTAATAATTAATTGAAAATGCACAAGTCATATGAAGTTATGGAACGGGTTGGTTCAGTCGATTATAGAATTGAAACGGGTGGTAACAATTTGTGCAATCTATGGGAGTTTTAACATAGGAGTTTTCTTCATCATATGCTACCATCACTAAGGGAATGTGAACATGAAATTATAAGACTACTGTATACTTTTTGTGTTGTTGGATGTGAACTGATTAATCATTATTGTAATAGGTTTCATCTTAGCAGAGAGTTATGTTATGAAGTGTTTTAGTATACTTGACATAGACCTCACGATGAGCAGTCAATCAAAAACTATAGTTTGAAACTGGGAATTCTAGGTAGACAGACAGACAAACAAACAAAACATATATCGCATTCATCCCTCAAACCTACTGTATCAAGTAAATGCTAGAGAAACCTGACACAATGAAAGCATTGAGAGATCCCCTGTATCTGCGTATGAGGTACTATTTATAACAACCTCTCGTAACACTCATGCAGACAATGTCAGCCATTCATGAATGTACTGAAGTCATGTTAAGTGCTTGGTTATGTGGTAACCAAAACCCACAAAAGAGTACATGTTTGCGTCTTTATATTTACGAACCCCTTAACATATACACATACATAAGTCGTTCAGTAATTGACAAAGCAGCTGTCCTTTGTTATAGTGGCGCATATGTGGGAATCAATCGCCGTGTAGCGCGCCTTCGACATGAAGAGTCTCTCATTAGTGTTCTCGCCGACGTTCTAGTAACGTCTACCTCTCCCAAACTTCTCAAATATTAAAGTGCATGGAGATAGAAATCTGCGTAATTTTATTGCTATTAATTTATATAAATGTTGCATGAATAATTGTCGTTGCTGCTTTTTTTCAGTCCATCTCTCTTTGAAAATACAATAGTAAGAATGGGGCTTTGATATTTTGTTTTATTGTTTTTACCATGGAAGGCACTAACGCGTACCTTCCATGTTTTTACTGAATCATGGGTTTTTGTTGTAATTTGTGCCATCGTATTTTTTTCGAGGTTGACAATTGGAAATATCAATAATTTCTGAGGCAAAGATGAATATAGTTAACTAATTCCCCTAAGAGGAATTAACAAAGCTTTACATATTTTACACCACCCCCAGTTTACGAGGCTATTCACCCCATCCAGTGTGGCGTGTGCATTAAAATCGCATTGTCAGGTTGCACGCTCTAATTGCGAAATAAGTTTTTACCCGTTTTTACGCATAATTTTACTGGAATATCCGGTGGTCGAATGGAAGCCATACCGGGGCATGCAGACGAAGCGATCTGGTGCCGTAGTCGTATTTTCTTCCTGTAGCATCACATATTTTATTTAATTCTAATACAACAATTTATGTATTTTGTACGCTGTGTGTACGTCACTTAGTATCCATGTCAAACTCTAGATATAGGAAAGGTCATGACTTTTAACTTTTGGTATAGTTTAAATAATTGATTCCAGTATATATAGATCTGTAAATGGAATGACTTTCGTAAATATTATCATGTTTCAACTTTGCATGCATTTGAGCCTTCAGTCAGAAACTTCGAGATTGTTTTGATAGCCTTCGCACGGAGTCAGAAGTTAAACATAATTATTCCACTTACTTTGACATGACGTGACGTGACGTGACGTAGGCAATTCGGGGAGCCGTGTATGTGCATATGACATCCGCGACCCTTGGATGTACGATGGGGACAACAGAGCACGACCCCGGGCAGCTTATATTCGGTAGTGTCATTATTAAGGAACAGTTTTAACAGAAGCTTACTTGGCTGTGACTTTTTCCCTTAATATACCTACATACCCAAGATAGACTGTGTGTAGTAGTGTCGTTTACACAGCATGACATTTGGCTGTTGACGTGCATAATTGTTATACGCGTTGTTGATACATTGACGCACAACAAGAGGTCTTATATTGTTATGCAAATACTCGTACGTTAGTATTTGACCTTCATTTACCACTCTTGAAAGCCGTATTCGAGTGTACACAGTTGATCACGTGTTCAATTCCTAGTAAGACGACGGACCATATGTTTACAGTAGTGTGGTTTCGTGGAACAACGGAAAAAACAGTATCAATTGTGTCAGACCGGAAATCGACATGTATATAAGAGCTTATCAGATGTTATCTAAAGTCAGACCACGAGGAGTACACAGTATTATTACAGTCCAAAGCTCACTCACAGTGTTACTGCGCGCAGGTTAACAATATGACGTTTTTTGTACCAGTGATCTTAACTATAGGTGAGTAGAGGGACCTGTCGACATATTTATACCACGGTCGATACGCCAAGCACCTAGGTAGATAGCAGACGTGTTTTGGAATTATCGATGTGTAAATTTTGAAACTTTATAAGTTTCCAGTAGTTCGTCTGGTGTTGCCAAGTCGTGCAGAAGTATGTTATTTGGGGGGGGGGGCGAAAAATTCGAACAAGTCATGACACAATTGGAGATCCGTATCAGGCGACCTAACGAATACGTCCACAACTGGATTGAATTTCATTTATATGTTATGCCCGGCCTTTGGCATTTCGAAGAATTGTCGTATGCAGTATAGCCATTATATTAGTTTCCACTCATGCTGTCAGATATGGTTACCGTTTTCGCTGACATGCTAGATCAAACAAACTGATACCACCGTTTTGGGTCGATACCACTATTTATTTAGGGGTGTTGCGAATGTGTTTGTTTCAGTGGATGGGGCAAGTGTGTTGTGTTTTGTACGGAGAATTACAGCTGATACCACGTGAGCTGATACCGACAGTCGCAAAAAAAACACGTGTTATGTAGGGCGCCACCTAATGTTATTAGCCACCTATCATACCTATACACAAAATGACGAAATGCACATTTTAATTATTTAATTTAATTATTTATAGTGTCATGTCTGGCAGCGACAATCCAGGGTCAAGGACGATGTGTTCCGTGCAGATTAAGATCGCCTGATTATTCCAGTTGCACGTGTTTGCGTGAGTATAGTACCGCCACACGCCTGTATAGCGCCCTCAATGCACTTGTCAAATGTCATGTCCAGCCAGCACGAGGATGAGAGTGGAATAATGCATTTTTAATATTGTTTTTCAACATCGCACGTTGTAGGAAACATTGGAATATCATTTGCTGTAAACTGAAATCTTTGTTTTTGCAGCATACAGTATCAGTTTAGGTAAAAAATAGAAAAAACTAATACGCAGCGCACATGCGTAATTCCATCATCGTTTGATCGGACGGGTACTAAGTTGTGTGCTGTAAACCGGTTGTTATTTCATGACGAATAATGATTCAACGTGTTAAAAACATTTAGTATCAAACAACAATAGTACAAATGACACGGGCTCATCTACATTTTAACATACGTGATAATTAAAGCTTGAGTTGCCTCTTCTAGAAATGTTTACATTGTATATGCAATGTATATTTCAGCTAACGTACATGGATGCGAAATCGAACTGAATTCTGGGAATCAGATTGCCACACCAAAGTTTTCGGGACAGGAGCAAGGATCAGTCTACAGCTGCGTGCCAAAAGTCGAGAATCCAAACTACGAAGTGCACGTCATAGCCAATTATGAGGGCGATGGTCACACGGGATTCCGACAACACAATACGGGATACACGACATTGAACATACATGGACGAGGGAGCAGTAAGCCACTTATCCTTGTCTTATCAACATACGAACCTGTCCACTGGACTCTGAACTTCAGTAATCCCGACACGGTCATTGACACGGTTGTCTTGGTGAGTTCACGTGTTTATTTCTGATGAATTTACATAAATTACAATAGTTATATATTTTGTAAGAGCATGGAAGATACTAACGGAGTACCTTCCATGGTAAGAGCAAATTAGCGGTCTGTTTAGGAAGGGAACAAGATTCCCGTTGAAAAGGTGTTTGCACGGCAGTTTTAATCTCTGTTTTTCAGACTCGGCCTATTCTGTTCACCCCCTTTTTTAATAATTCCGGCCACTTCAGCAAAATATTGGTCATTTCTTGTGAGCGAAAACATACAAGAAACGAACCTAACGTTAATTTATTTTGTTTGTTCATTTCCCAAGGGGACGCGGAGGACTATCTAAATAAGGACCATCTAAATAAGTAACTTCCCGGGGTATACTATTTTCCTCATGTATTTTTTTTAGAAATGGATTAACAAATAAAGGCAACAATGTCTCCGCGCATGTCGTGTTTGACTCTGCCGCGTATGGTATGAAAGTTACGCATCACCATCTTACTCGCCACCAGCAGGCGAAACAAAGTGTACATGTTGTGCTCATTCCAGTTCCTGTTAATTAGTGTGCACATGCCGATTTTATTTCCCATACATTATATGGTTATTTAATTACATTTCATCGACAGTTTGCATATCACCTCACGAGAAGTGGAATCACTCATCAAGATGGCCGCGTGGGGTCCATTGAAAAGAGCAACGATATAGCATGTGCCTATGGCAGCGATACCGGTGGATGCTACACTGTAGACCTATTAAAATTCATAGAAAATAATTATGGCAGTGTGACTTCATTTAGTGGTACTTACAAAGCCAATGAATGGAATCTAGTTTTGCAAGAAGGTAGGAAAGATTCACAATGTTTTTTTTGGTTACTGTGCGCGAAACCATAGACCATCGTCTTTTAGATGGTCTATGGTGAAACTCAGTGCTTTAGAAACCGTTACGTCCTCTATGCGTAGCTAATCTGAAAAAAAACAATCACGCATTTCTTTCTGTTCAAGTTTTGATGGCGCTTTTCAAATAAAATGAATAGTGAACAGTGTATTTTTAACGGTGTATTAATATGTTTTTAACAGACAGTCCAACACATTCCGTGTCTTGCGGTTTTGAGGATGATGGAATCTGTGGATACACGCAAGCTGTGGACGATGACTTTGATTGGGAACGCAGAACTGGATACAGTGGTTTATTTGGGCCTAGTTCTTCAAACATGTATCGCCATGGTAGGTATTAGCGATATTATTTTTTAAGTTTACTTATCTTAAAGGGTCGTGGTTGTCGCGCCTCTTTCTTTATTCAATATGGGGCTCATAGCGACCTTACAACCCGGGGGGGGATACATATAACTTCCTAATTGGGACGTGCCCCTGAAATGGGTCTCGTTTTTTTTGGATTTTAGGTACAAGTATCGGTCTTATTTCTGGTCAAGATAGATATAATTATCGATAATATTTTTCCGATTTGGTCCGTATTTGAGCGAATATCTCCACCTCAGATCCCGGCCTCAGATCCATATATACATGAACCCGGACATTAAACAAGGCAATCAACATTTAAACGGAGATTTATCACGTAATTGATGAGGGTGCACAATTCTCAGTGAAACTTATTTGGAATAAACAGTGTTGACAAAAATGGTACTTTGGAATAAATATGGGTATAGATTTTGCCACTATCCAGGGATAAAAATGGTCACACTTTGAGCACTCGGGGACACCTTTCTACCCAGCTATGTATCAACTACCCCCACGGGGCGTTTGTTTAAATGAATGATTGCCAAATTGCGTTTAGCTCACTGCACTGCATTTAGTCTGGGTGGAGCTGCAGACACGTATAATAAATATACTGTATTTTTTATCTAGAAAATAGCTTGCAGATACTAGAAGTTATTTTTAATTGACAAGAAAAATAAATTTAAAGATGATTTTGCTTGTACAACCTATCTAAAGCTGTTTACAGCTGTATACAGCTGTTTTTAAAAAAAAGTTTGTTTTATGCCCACGTGACCTATTTCCTGCTTAACTTCCTGCATCATTTACATTAATGGCAGGTTTTTACATGAGGGCAAGTGCTGGCGCTGGCTCAATCCCTGGAAGACCATACTCTCCAGCTGAAGGTGAAAGTGATAAAGCGAGACTAATCTCACCAAGCTATCAAACCACATCGGCTAATCAATGCCTGAAGTTCCATTATTACTGCGCCACCAACGGCAGGGGACAGCATAGATCTCGATTAAACGTATACACTATGACCGACAGTGGGTTAGGATATCCTATTTGGGCCCGCCCACGGTGTAACGAACAGGCGTGGCACACAAAGGAAATAACCATTAACGGTGTGGATAGCAGTTCATATAGGGTAAGGTATTGAACGTTTTTCAAAAAAAAAAACGAACAAGATTCTTGCCAAAACAAGCGTAAATACGAATATATATGCCGTGTGTTAACTGTCATTCGGGCATGCGACCAACCTCTGAGTATTTGCACCCATCCTGCGTCTTCTATTCACTTGCAGGTTGTATTTGAAACAGTTCATTCAGGATGGCCTTATACCAATATGGCCATTGATGACGTCACACTTGTGGAAGGTCGGTGCGGCGATACATCACCTGGAAACCAAAACCAGTGTGAGTACTCTCACGTGTTATTTTCAGTAAATTGCATTATTTTCTTTATCTCCTTATGTATGGAAAAGGTCCGTTTTTTAGTCTCACTTGTGATTTGACCTTCGTATATCACAGAGCTCACAGTTGCTAAGAGGACAAATGTGAAAGCTTCATTGTGTAATATATTCCCCGAAAAAAACAAACTATTCAATAGCCGGGATATTATCGGTATAATTTCTCCTGATGGTCAATACTCTAAATACGCCTTTCTAATAAGTTGTGCCCTCTAGCGACGAAACGCTTCCATAACATCATAATAAATTACATAGGTGTTTGCAGTAAGTCGCTGAAACAGACAACTCTGCTAGTGACGTATTCTTTCGCCATCTAAGAATTTATATAACAGATCTCTAAAAATAGTATTTTTATTCAAGGATGATCACAGCTGAAAATAAATTCCTTATCTAGTTTCTCAAACGTTTTTAAGTCACAGAAGCAGTTCATCGCTAGAGGGCGCAACATATACGTTGTGCATCTATAGTCTGATTCCCTATGTTCACGTATTTTAACATATTTATTAGGATATAGTATTGCAGTTACTTACACACTGTTGTTAACTGTTATAGTGCGTTGTTATTGTGACGAGTGTAATTCACGTAACAACACATGCGTCACTGATGGAAGCTGTTACGGTGAAAAAGTCGTCATTGGACGAAGAGAGCAGTATTCCTTCCGCTGTCTCGATAAGGTAGTATTGGAAGCAGCTCCGTACCTCTGTATGCCGTCCGCAGGCCGTGCATTGCTGCAGACGGTTACTGTGTGTTGCCACGACGCGGACATGTGTAATCTGAGAATTATTGAAGGTATACCTCAACGAACACCTGCACCACCATCAACAACAATAACAACAACTACAGAATCTCCATGTAAGTATCGTGTTAATTTTTGCTCCAATTTTAAGAAGGTAACAAGGCGTGTTAACATCATTATACTATTCACATTAGTCGCGCATTCTATAGCAAAAATGTGTTTTCATTGACGGTCTTCGATTTATCTATCAACAGTTGCCGACAAACCAGGACAATGTCCGGATTTAAGCCAAGAATATGATAGCTTCTGTGAATGGCAATGTAATCATGATCCCGAGTGTGCAGGCGATGAGAAGTGTTGTTTTACTGGATGTGGTACAACTTGCACAATGCCTGCCAATACGGGTAAGATGAAAGCGACATTTCTCTGAATCATATGTTCCACTCTCTTTCAGCTGTCAGTATGTTAGTATGGCAATCCTAATCACATCAACCGCCTTATCTCTGAATTTTACATTATCCAATTGCATCATTATATGTCAATTTTTTTTTCAATGAAAAAAACTCTCTAGTGGAAATTCAATTCAATTAAATAGAAAATATTATGTTGCTAACCAGACGATAATTTTTCATAATATGTAAATTATTCCACATTCACAGTGCATGCTGGTAGTTGTCCAGTGATTACCCTGGGTATCTTCCGGTCGTGTACAGGCCGCCCTGACTCGTGTAATTCTGACGACGACTGTCGCTTAAATGAGAAATGCTGTTCTACTGGATCGCGGTGTGGGAGGGCCTGTGTCCCATCCATCATCCATGATGTTCAGAAACCCGGCACGTGTCCATTTTTCCCATATGGTCTACGTGGGGCACATTGCGGCGATCAGTGCATCACAGACAGCGATTGTCCAAGCAATGAGAAATGTTGTTCTACTCACTGTGGTCATATTTGCTCAACACCAATTGAAGGTAAAGTTAATTGCTAATTGCCATTTACGGGTGCTAATATTTAGTAGAAAGCCCCTCCTATTGTAGCCAATTTAAAATATTGCGTACTATCAGTACACGTATTCAATTTTGAACGAGGATGCAAAGTCCATTGATTGATTCCTAGGCATTGCGACGCTTTTTTAAAAAAAATTGTATCTGATTGGCTATCCAAACCTGCAACATAACAATCTAACCAATCAGAAGGCATCTTATTGTTTGTTTGTTTGTGTTTGACGTATAACAGTCTGTCTTGTATATATGCATTGACACAACTGTGATTCTTTGCTATATAATTATTTCGATTAATGTGTTTTTGAAACCTATCAGTTTCCAGCAAGGTATTTATCTGTCAATGTTCAATTTTCTTCTATGTTAAAAGCTTTCAAGCCCGGCACATGTCCTGCCATTACGGGCATAGGCACTTGCCAAGAAGAATGCTCTGGGGACGCTGACTGTAACGGGGATAACAAATGCTGTTCCAATGGATGTGGTCACGTATGTGCTCAACCCGTACCGAAAGTTCCCTCAGGTAATATGCAAATTAATTATATGATGTATTAGATGAAAATTGCATTCGACTCAATTGTTTAAGTCGAACTTAGGCAGTCATATTGTCAATTGGTCTGAGGTATTCAACATATCTTGAAGTTTTGAAATATTGAAGTAACCAACAAAATGTGTTTGAGTTGCCGTTCTTATTCACGATAAACTACAAAGACAAACAAGTAAAAAGGTTACCGCAACGAAATTAAAATCTATTGTTAAAATAGAATTCGAACTATTGTAAGGCTGGTTTTGTTATGACTGAAAGACTGGCATGGCGCTACAAGCATGAGAAAACAATAAGTTAAATTATATTGTACCTTGTCGTCACATGGTCGAATGCACTATTGCTATTAGCTAAAATGACCGATGATGCAGATGTTTACCATAGTCACAAAAGTCAACGACAGATTTTTTTCTGAATAATCTGCATGAAAAAAAAGAAATTTGAGGCATGTTCAAACAAACCTGAAGACACGTTGTTGTAAACACTGATACAAATTATCTTTGTCGCCGCGAATGTTTATTAATTTATTCTGACGAGAAGGCACACAATACCCATCTATATGATGCTCAGCTTACCGTGGATTTCATAGAAATGGCGTTCAACTATAATAATTATAATAAATAATACACTGGATTGAGTGTTACAAAAATATTTTTATTTTCATATTAGAACCTGAGTACGAGATGTGCTGGACGGGATCAGTGTGCGGTGGCTGTAATCCAGATTACGTTGGAAGTGTTAATGGACTTCAGGTTTGCTGCCCTCATTGTCGTGAACAAGGACTTCGAATAATCGGCAGAAATTGTACATGCGTTAAAGAAATTGCTGGCAATAATAATAATGATGATGAAAAGGAAGAGGGCAATGATGACGATGAAGGTAAAATTCACAAAATGATAGAAACATGACATTTACGTGAACTAATGCACAACTTAATGGACTGAGTAGAGTGTGCTGTCGACAATTCTTGACTCATGTGCAAGATTTAATTGGAATTTGAATGGGTTACATGATTCATTGCTTAAATGTACTGTGTTGATACGCATGCCACTTTTGCGCTCAACCCGAAAATGCAAGTTTGATTTTTATTCAACAAAAAGCATTCATTTGCATATTTTGTATTCACTGATACATTGCTTTATTTTCCTCAGCCGTTTCGGAAGAGCAGTGGACACGACGAAACTTCATGTATGATGATAGCTACACCACTTGTACTGGAGAC